TTCCAAGTCTTTGCTATTATAAATAGTGCTGCAATAAACATATGTGTGCATATGTCTTTATAGTAGAATGATTTATAATCCTTTGGGAATATACCCAGTAATGGGATTGCTGGGTCAAATGGTATTTCTGGTTCTAGATCCTTGAGGAATGGCCACACTGGATTCCACGATGGTTGAACTCACTGACACTCCCACCATCAGTGTAAATGCATTCCTATTTCTCCACAGCCTCACCAGTATCTGTTGTTTCCTGACTTTTTAACGATCACCATTCTGACTGGCATGAGATGGTGTCTCATTGCAGTTTTGATTTGCATTTCTTTAATGACCAGTGATGATGAATATTTTTTCATATTTTTTTGAGAAGTGTCTAGCAACATTCCTAATGCCACTGAACTCTACACTTAATAAGAGTTAAAATGGTAAATTTCACATCATTTGTGTATACTTCACCACAGTTTCTTAAATGGCTTATTTTCAGGGAGGAGCTCAGAGTCAGAGGGTGGGAACAGTCTGGAGTGACAGGGAAGTGTGTCGAGACAGTGACGCCTAAGTGGGGGCTTGAAGGGTGAAGAGCCCAGTAGAGGTGGGAGAAGGGCAGAGCAGGGTAGGTCAGCATGGCTATGGCTAGTCCATGAAGCCACGCTGGGCAGTGGGTGAGGACGGGAACGCCCAGAGCCCTGCAGGCATCAGGCAAGTTCCAGGAGCCATGGAACCACTGGGCTGAGCTGCAGAGGTGGCCCGCTGATGTCTCCCCTTCGCCAGGCTCCCAGTGAGAAGGGACTGCGGGGGCAAGGTTGGTGGGCGACCAAAAGCAGTATCCCAGGAGGACAGGGCAGGGGTGCCGGGCAGGCCATGGGGCAGGGGTGCCGGGCAGGCCATGGGGCAGGGGTGCCGGGCAGGCTATTGGGCAGGGTACGGCCGCTCATGGCCCAGGGAAGTCACACCCCACTCTCTGACAGGTTTGCCAACTTCGCAAAGAAGAATAAGGACAGCCAGTTAAATAAGAATTTCAGATAAAGCAACAAATAACTTTTTAGTGTAAATATGTCCCAAATACCGCATGGGACCTGCTCATGCTGTAAACGTGTTCCTGGCGTGTCTGATGTTCTCATGTAGCCAGGTGCCCTGGGTCTTATCTGGACGCTGCCCTCTGAGGCTCCTGCCTCTCATCTGGAAAGGGGTGGTCACTGCCTTGACAAGGCTCTCACCTCTGGTTCTTCAGGAATCCCCAGCCAGGCCTCCCGGACCACCCAGCCAGGAAGACCCCCACCCCCAGCCCCAATCACGGTCACTCCACCGGCTCTGCTGCCTTCATGGCACTTGCAGGCTCTGAAATGGCCCAGCTGTGTGCCTGTCTGTCTGGGATCTTTCTCCCACTCTGAGGTGCGGGCTCCATGAGCACAGGGCCCCATCATCCTTGTGTCCCCAGCACCTAGCAGAGGCTGGGCGTGTGTGGGTGTGCAGCCACGATTTACTGAAGATGACACGGACGCCTCCCTGGAGGGGCAGCCTGAGGGGGAACAGGAAGATGAGGGTGAGTGGGGCGGGGCCCAGTGCACCTGCTATTTCTGCCCCACCAATCTCCTCCTGCTGATGACCGGCCCCCTTTCCTCTGAGGCTCAGGCTGGCCTCCGCCCAGGGGACAAAGTGCCCCCACTCTGCCCAGATGGGGGCCGGCAAATCCGCACCAGCCCGGCTTGGCCCTACCCCCACCCCTCCCGACAGGACCAGCCGGGCGTCCACAGATTCCCACGGCAGCCTGTTACCATGGTGACAGCAATCCGCGGTCACCGCGCTAAAAACTGGTGGATGCCTCCCTCCTGGAACACCACAAGCGTTAGAATCTAATTTTCATTACAGCCATAATAGTGGTTTTGCATAATCGTACATATATTAATACCTAACATGCCTGTGTTTATTTGGTTAAAATTCATGAATTCAGGTCTAAATAAAAAGTGCTGATGGCTGAAGTTTTTCATTCTCTTAAAATGTTCTTGGGTTATGTATTTTTTTAAGCCAGTCTCTCTCCTTGGCAGCAACTTGCTTTTAATCCCATTATTAACAGGGAAGAGAGAGGAAAACAAATCAGGGCTCTCCTCCCCAGGGGCCGTGCCTCTGGCTGTGGAGGTGGCAAGCGGGTGCCCATCACCCCTAGCCTCTGCCTCGCTGTGTGGCCCAGACCACACCCTGCAGCCTCTCCAGGACTGTTTCCTCAAGTGGAAAAATAAGAGAAGGCATTAGTTGGTCTTTGAAATCCCTTCTGCTTCCAAAACACAGCCACGGAGCTGACATTTGCTGAAGCTCAACCAGCACCGGGCTATGGGCGGGAGAAGTAAACACGGTCCCCGTCCTTGGGTCAGTCCAATCTGATGGAGACTCGCTCAAGAAACAGACAGTGCAGGCCGGGTGCGGTGGCTCACGCCTGTAATCCCAGCACTTTGGGAGGCCGAGGCAAGTGGATCACCTGAGGTCAAGAGTTCGAGACCAGCCTGGCCAATGTGGTGAAACCCTGTCTCTACTAAAAATACAAAAATTAGCCAAGCATGATAGCAGGCGCCCGTAATCCCAGCTACTCAGGAGGCTGACACGATAGTGAGCTGAGATCTTACCATTGCATTCAAGCCAGGGCAACAGAGCGAGACTCCGTCTCAAAAAAAAAAAAAAAAAAAGAAAAGAAAAGAAAGAAAACGAAATAGACAGTGCCAAAGGATAAGGAGATTATTCTTCCCATGTGACCCTCTCGCCCGGGGCCAGCACCTCAGCCACAGCAGCAGAGCGTGGGAACCAGGCCTGCCTCCTCCCCAGCTCCACAGGCCCCCACCCACCCAGCGGCCATGAGAGCACCCTGCCATGAGCATTGTTCTAGGTCCCCGATGCCCCAGCCCCACACCTGAACATGGAGGAGGAGAACCGCCACCCCTCCCTTGAGAGAAGCCCCAGCTTGACACCCACCCCACCGGGGAAAGAACAGCAGAGACACACGGAGAAATTCTTAAATAGGCTTCTGGGCTTTTATTCAAAACAACACTGGTGGTGGCTGCCGCTTGGTTTCTCTACACCCGGGCCATCTGGGCCAGCAGGTACCAGCGCCATCAGCAACTAGGAGGGAAGTTCATTCACACCATAGAAACTGTACAGCGACTGAGAGTGCTAGAGTCACGGTGGCGGCCCAGGCCGAGGGCTTCCTGGAGGAGGTGGCCTCTACCTCCTCAGTAGGCTGCAGCTTGGCCCAGGCTCTGCCAGGAACACGGATTATTGCACAAAGACAAAAAAGAGTATGTGTATCTGGGCTAAAGAGCAGCTCTTATGACCCCAAGCCCTTACACAACGCAGCAAAGGGGGCTGGGGTTGGCCCTGGAAGCGGAAGGCTCCGAGCTGAGGATATGGGGGAAGACAGGCAGACGGGCTTTACACGCTTTGTCCTCCTTTAAGGGGCTGCCTGGTACAGGAGAAGGTAGAGCAGAGGAGACGAAGAGGGTTTGGCTAGACTGGGCTGTCTCTGCACAGATGCCAAGGTGCCTGCCCATCACCACCCTATGGAGCAGCAGAGACAGCTCAGGGACCTGCGTCCCCACCTTCCCCACTGCCAGGCCCATGTGGGTTAGGGCAAATTTGTGCTTTTGTGATAGACGCAGGCCTGAGGCCATGGCCCCAGACCACAGGGTTGAGGAGGAAGGAAGGCCCTTTGCCCAACCCTCACCCATTCTGACTTGTGCTGGCCAGTAGATCACAGCTTCCCTGGTTCTCCATCTCTGTCACCCACAAGAACAAGGCCAAGTGTCTGGGATCGGCAGGTGGGGCCTCCAGGAGCCTGGGATCGGCCAGGCCATCTCCCACTGCTCCCTGCAAGGAGCTTCTCTGCCTCTGAGCTCAGCTCTTTCGCCTTCTCCACACGCCCCGCTCTGTGGGCCCTGGAGCCTTCACTCATGCCCAACCCTTTGCCTAGAACACCTGCCCCGAGGTGTCTGCTTGTTCCAGAGCCACATGGTTCAGGGCAAGGGGAGGTTTCACGTCAGACCTGCCTAGGATGTGTTCCCTGCGCAGCTGCTCTGAACCCATGTAACAGCAGGAAAGGACGCTCAGCAGAGTCACAAGATGACCCAAGGCTGCTGGACCGGTGTCTGATCCTGCCAATTTGAAGCCCAACCTTCCACATGGTCTTCCCAGGTCACACAGCCCCTCTTCTGGGCTCCAACACACATGTCCCTCCAGCAACACACGGACTTGCAAAAAGTCAAGTCTGTCTGCCTCCCTCCAACTGCGCATGCTCAGGGTTAGCCAGGAGCAGGTAAGCCCGCCCAGACACTTCTTTCCCAGACCACGTAGCTCGCTCCACATAAAACCACCTCCGTGGAAAGGGAGACAGGGCCGAGGCTCTCTGGAGGGGTCAGCGTTGGGCTTGGACCCAGCCATCCTCACAGGTCTACCTGCCCCCCAGGGAGGACTGGGCAGTTCCTCCCGCCGCAGGCACCTTGCTCAGCATCACAGCCCTAGGGTGTGGAGTGGGACCCTCCACACCACCCCAGCTTCTTTGCTGCTAGGGCCCTGAAGGATCCTGGGCTGGCCACTTCCCCTCTCCGGGGCTCAGTTTCCCGGGTGGGCTTGACAACCCCTCCTGGACCGCTCTCCCTCAGCCCAAAAGGTCTCTGCATGTGACAAAGCACACATTGCCCACCACCTCCCCCAGGGTCCCTGTGCCAGCCTGGAAGACACCCAGAACCTCTCCAAGGAGCACCCCACACCCTCACCAGCCTGGCCACGAGCTGAGTTCTTCCAAGTCAGAGTTTGGGAACAAGGACAAGGCTGCCCCTCAGCAGGCCCCCATGAAGCCCTCAGAGGGGGTCTTAGCAAAGGCAAGGGGGGATCTTAACAAAGGCAAGGTTATTGCTGAAGCACAGCATCTCCAAACTCGTGGCCTCTGCAGCCTCTCCAGACCACTGCCACCAACATGCTCCCAACCTCCTTCTTCAAACTGACTTCATGAAAGTCACTCCCTTTGACCTAAGCAAAATCTCTGTGAAATCACGGGTTCAATGTATTTTTTTTCTAATAAATAGTGAAATAAATGCGTAACTCTTCAAATCAAACACCCCCATCTATAACCCGTTTGGGAAGCACTACTATAGTGAAAGCTGACCTGCAGTTAGGGGCAGAGGGGAGGAGAGACAGGGGCAGGGAGGAGAGACAGGGGCAGGGAGGAGAGACAGGGGCAGGGAGGAGAGACAGGGGCAGGGAGGAGAGACAGGGGCAGGGAGGAGAGACGGGGCGGGGAGGTGGGGTCAGGGAATGTGGCCTCCAGGTGACGCAAAAGGCTGGGCGTGGGGATGCGGCTGGACCCAGGGCCCAGGCAGGTGCCCCCACCCCTGCCTAGAATTCGGTCAGAGCTGCTTTGCCTTGAACCCACCGGGGCGGGGGCATAGTTGCTCAGGACAGGGACAGCACAGCGTCCAGGGACAGCCACAGCTCAGGGCCCATATTGGGGATAAAAGGCATAAGTGACTGAACAACTAACTGCCTGAGCCCAGGGGCACCTGCAGGGCAGCCAGAGCCAGCCCAGACCAGGCAGGTACCCTGGCGTCTCCAAGCGGCCTCCACTCCTGCTCCACCCAACCCCGCCCTCCTGGGGTGGAACCCCCCCCTCAGAAGTACTCAGGAGCTGGGACCTCCCCTGGGGCCAGAGCCCCAGCCCAGCCTCCGAGCTGCCCTCCACCCCACACCACGGTCCTAAGGAAACACAGCTACTCACCCCTGATTTTTCTAAAGAGACATCTAACCCGTGTACTAAGGGTATGTGTGTGCTCTGGGGTGTCTACAAAAGACTTCACAACAACGAGACGGTCAGGATGACAGGACAGACACCCCGACGCGTGGAGCCACGGGGGATCTTAGCAGCGTTTCTTCTTTAAAAGAAAAAAAAGAAAAAGAAAACACACCCTGAATTGCACCTCTTCTCCCGGGCCTGGTGCCCTCAGAGGCCTGAGGGTCCTCTCCAAGCTACTCTCAACCCGGGAGGAGACCTCAAAAAACACAGCTGCGACGCCCCGGCAGGACATGTGCCCTGGGGTGGGTCTGGCCTGAATTCCAGAGCGTCAGACAAAAGCCCCGTCCAGGCCCTGGCCCACCTCCCACCTTTAGCACTTTCTGGAAGTCATAAGCTCTCAGTAAAAAAAATAAATATATATATATATGTCTATGTGTGTGTGTGTGTGTATATACGCATATATATATGTATATATATGCACTGGAAGGGCCACCATGGGCCACGCAGGCCTGGCTAACCCAGACTCCGCTCAGCCTGGCTGACGGGCGCCTGTGCCCGGCGGGCCCTGCGCGATCCCAGGTGTGGACGAAGTATTGCTGTCTGCTCCTGGCTCCTGAGGTAAAAAAAGTGAGACGGGGCGGGCGGTGGGCGGCCGGGGGCCCCTGCGACCCTCATCTCTTCCTCTTGCTGGCGGCGTCTCCCGGCTCCAGCTCTCCGGGGAGCGGTTGCGGCGGGGACGCCAAGGGGCCCAGGCCCATGGGCAGCGGTGCCCGGCCCAGGGGGTCCTTGCTGCGGTCCGCGGCCCACGAGGGGCTCCGGGCCAGGCCGTGGGCCGGGGCGGCGGCGTGGGGGCGGCCGGGGGCGGCCAGGCTGCTGGTGCTGCTGAACTTCCTGGCGGGCGTGAGGCCAGGGAGCGGCGGCGGGGGCGGCGGGCAGAAGAGGGAAGTGAGCGAGAGGCTGCTGAGGGTCTCCGAGTGCTCGCTGCCCGCGCCCCCGCCGCCCGCGCCGCCGCGGCCCTCCTCGTCCGAGGGGTCCATGGAGTCGTGGTAGGTGCAGCCCGGGCTGGTGGAGCCCCCGCTGCTGTGGCTGCGCTGATGCGCCCGCAGCCCCCGCAGGCTGAACAGGCCCCGGCCCCGCAGGCTCAGGCGGCGGTGCGCGGCGGGGGACAGGCCGGCCCGGGGTCCCGGAGCAGGCGCGGGCGGCCCCAGGGCTCGCCGGGGGCTGTCGCTCAGGGTCAGGCTGTCCTCCAGCGTGGTCTGCAGGCTGCCCGCGGAGCTGCTGGGGCTGGCGTCCAGCGACGTGTCGCTCCCGGTGGCCTGGGGGGAGGTGGGAGCGGTGGAGGCCGCCTGGGTCTGCCCCCACCCCAGCAACCTGGACACCTCCCTCCCCGGCACAGCAGGCAGCCCCCATCCAAGGAGCTCCCTTAGGAGCAGGGATTCTCCCCTCTGCACGTCCAGCTTAGGCGGCAGTCACCACAGGGCCTGCACCTGCCCCGAGAGGTCCGGAGCTAGCACCCGCCTCAAACCCAGGTCAAACCCGGCCCTGCCCTTCACGGAAGGCTCCAGGCTCACTCCAAGGGGAAGCCCTGGGCCCACCGCCCTCCCCCAGGGCACGTGGCACCCCCACCACAGCCCCCGACGCGGCCCCTGCCCTGGCTGCTCTCACTGGTTCAGGTCCCTCCCACTTGCTCCGGCCCCTGGCCCCCACCTCCCGGCCCCAGGACCCCCACCTCCCAGCTGCCCAGCTCCCACCTCCCAGCACCAGGGCCCCCCATCTCCCAGCCGCCCAGCCCCCACCTCCCAGCCGCCCAGCCCCCCACCTCCCAGCTACCCAGCTCCCACCTCCCAGCACCAGGGCCCCCCACCTCCCAGCTGCCCAGCTCCCCAGCTCCCAACCTCCCAGCACCAGGGCCCCCCACCTCCCAGCTGCCCAGCTCCCCAGCTCCCAACCTCCCAGCACCAGGGCCCCCCACCTCCCAGCTGCCCAGCTCCCCAGCTCCCAACCTCCCAGCACCAGGGCCCCCCACCTCCCAGCTGCCCAGCTCCCACCTCCCAGCACCAGGGCCCCCCACCTCCCAGCCCCCACCTCCAGCCCCTCCCCAGGAGCTGTTCTCCCTGCCTGTCCACCATGGAGTAGACTTTACTGCACCCCTGCAGCTCACTCTCAGCACTAAACGGTGAGCTCAGCAGGCAGGGAGTTTGTATCCTGCCCGCCAGGCCACACAGCCTGCTAGGACTGGGTCCCACAGTCACCCAGTGAATCAACCGCACTCACCGCACTGTGGGAGCCGGCTCGACCCCATTTCCCCACCCCCACAACAGAGCCCTCAGTGCTCTCTTGGGTAGGAGGGCTGTGGCCCTGGCCAATCCAGTACAGGGGACCCTGCAGGCCGAGGCTTCTCATCCACCAGACCCGCCCTCCCACCTCCATTCCTAGTAATCAAGCCCCCACTCACACCCACCCAGATAACCCAGGGTATCCTCCCCACCGCCAGCACCCCGCCACCCTGCAAAACCTCCAGTACTCCTCCTCCTCCTCCCCTCCCCTCAAGCTAGGTATCACAGGCCTCTTCCAGACCCCCCTCGGGGTCCTCCCCACACTCTGCTGTCCCCAGGACCCAGCTCTGCCCACTCCCGTCCGCCCCAGTGCCACCTCCTGCTCCAGTCTCAGCATCACCCCAGCGTTCCCAAACCCCCTTGCATGGTGGTGCCCTGGGCCTTTGGTTGGGTCCTTCCCCTCCCAGTCCCTCGGACTTCGAGGCCTGGCTTAGATCCTGCCCCTTGCCTACAGACCAGTGCTCTGGAGCCTGGGAGGTGCCGGTACCTGCCGGAGGAGGGTGCAGTTGACCCTTGGTGACCGCAGAGATGCCCAGGAGCCCTGCAGCGCAATCTTCGGGAGGGTCCCAGTGCCGGTGCCCTTTTCTGGGCCTTTCTGGCTGGCAGACACTGCAGGGTGGAAGAACTCGGCTGGCATGGGCAGGAGAGGGCTGGAGGCATCCGGGGAGAAGGGACTTGGGGGTGCTGCTGGGAAAGGAGGAGACAGAGCTGAGGGAGCACGCTCAGGCCAGGGGGCAGTCCCTGGGAGGTGGCATTGAGCACCAATCTCATTGGGCCAGCAGGGAGGAGCCACCTAATAAACTGACTGTGAGACCGTGGGCAAGTCCCCCCCTCTAAACCTTTGTTTTCCCATTGTGAGAGCAAGAGAGAAATCCTGAACCAGCCCTTTTGATTCCAGGGGGCAGGGGCCCTGGGCAAGACACAGCTTTTGGAGGCAAGCAGACCCGGGCTCAAGCCTAGGTCTCTTCCTCTGTAAAAGGGAACAAGATGCCATCTTGAGGGTCATCAGGAGAAGAAACAGCTGGAAGCTCCCAGCTCAGTACCAAGTACACAGTAGGTGCTCACTAGGATCAGTCACCCCCGGGTCCTGACCCCACCATGCAGCCTGGCCAGGCCTGGGGGCCCCTGTGGGACAGCAGGTGGGTTGGGGCGTCCCAGCCCCGGGTCAGGTGCTGCACTGGATGGCAGGTCAGTCTGGCCTGGTTGGCTGCACACAGTGAGGGGGTGGGCGGTCTGAGGGCTGGGGCAGGTCTGGGTGTGGGGGACGTGGGGGGGTAGCAGCAGCCTCTGCCCACCGTCCCCTCCACACCTTGAGGGGTTGAGGGTGAGATAATGGAAGAATGTACCCAAGACAGCTGGACAGTCTGAATGTCCCGGCTGGGGATCCTATGCCATACCATCTTACCATTTAAGGAAAACGTAAATAAATGGTTGGCTAAAGGGAATGAGATTGCATTCCACCAGAATGGCTCTCGGGTCAGCCCTGTGCCCTGACTTCTGGTTTGGGAAGTCTGGGATCTTGGCACCTCAGCCACCCTGGCCAGTTGAAAGCCCATCAGCTTAGGGAGGGTGCCCAGGAAAGTCACCCCATGTCTGGCTCCTGGGAGGCGTCCCCGAAGGGTACTTGGGGTGGGCTCAGAGTCTTGGGTGTCCCTCTTCTGCTGGGCTCCTCATCTCTCTGCCTCCCTCCATAGCCAATGCTGTGAAACCAGGTTCCTGCCACCCTCCATGAGGACCACAGTAAAGATGAACCTGTGATGGCAGGCCAGCTTAGTCCCCTGGCCCTGTGCCCAGAGCCCAGCCACGGGCCCAAAGCACAAACAGAACACTGTGGGTAGAGCTGAAGGATAAGTATCAGGAATTTGCAAAGGGGCTATTAAAGACACCAGGCTTTCCTATGTTTAACATCCCCATGTATATGAAGATCTGTGGGCTACACACCTCTCTAATTCAGCTCTAGAAACACACCACAATAATCTGGCAGCTTTCCTTCTGCTTGATATGAGAGCCATGTATACCCACCTCTTTCCCTTTTCACTATGGCTCCTAGGAAGCTTAGCATGAAGCTTCCTTTAGATGCTTAGGTTTTTGTTATAATTATCTCATCTTTTTGTACTATTTGTCTCTTGATCTTTTATCATTGTTATATCAGGCCTGAGAGTCTATCTCTCATTGTCAGATATCCATCTGGTTCTTTCTGGACTGAATATAATAATCTGGGTAAAAATACTAAGGAAAAAACTCAACCATCTCCCTCTGAAGCAGACGCCCAAGATGAGGGCTGTGGGGAGCTGGCAGGGCTCCCACCCCTCACCTTGACTGCTGTCATGTTTCAGCCAGGACTGGACAGGGTTGAATGGGATCTCCTCCATCTCACACAGGAAGTTCTCTGGACCCGGTGAGACGGCCGTAGAGGACAAGGGGAAGAAGCATTCGTCCAGGTCTCTCACACACATGGGCTCAGGTGGGTCCAGCTCACCCTGCAAGGAAAGGGAGGTAGGATGGGGCAGGACTGGGGGGGCGGGGACAGCTGCCCTCATGACCTGCTCCACGGGCCCTCGCTTAACTAGGCTACCCTCATAGCTAGTCTGACCTTCCTCTCACCTCCTCTACCTGACCATCTTCCCAAACCCCGGTGAAAGGAATCCACCTCCAAATGCCCCATTGGATGCCCCAGGCAGTTAGTGACTTCCCCTGGTACAGACCCTGGGCCAGTGAAGAAGCCAGGTCAAGGCTGGTGAAGGCATCAGAAGACAGACTGAGTGGCCAGTGTCCCATGAGCATGACCTTGGGGGGGTCCCTTCCCTTTGCTGAGCATGTTTCTGCATCCGAGGAGAGTGATGCCTTCCTTCCTAGGCATTCCCTGGCCCCCACATTCCTCAGGCCTGTAGCCCATAGTGACCCCTTCCCAGAAGAGCTGCCTTAGTGCCCCCTCCAAGGCAGATGCATTCGCGCCACCCCAACCTCCGATGACTTGCTGAGTCTGGCACAAAAGACTGTACCCTGCCCAAGTCCAGCTGAGTCCCAAAAACTGTGCACCCTGATATCCTTTGTAGAAGAGCAGTGTGGGGGTACAGGGAGCTGCAGCAACTGTGAGCCATCACTCGCCCCGCAACCTACCCTGAGCTGATGGAGGGCCAGCCTAGGGGGCAGAGGTGCCAAGCCCAGGGTATCCCCTAGCTGTCCCTTATACCCCCCACCCTCAGCAGGGCAGGACCACCTTGACCTTGAGATCAGGAGCCCCGGTATTGAGGTCTCACCCCCTAAGACTGCAGGATCAGCAAGGGGCCCTTCCTGGCCTGCAGGCCTCCTCAGACTGACCCCCTGGGGTGCAGAGGTTTGGGGCCCAGCCTCAGGGGTGGCTTCCTGCTCTGTCATTCCTGGCTGTGTGATGTGAGCATCACCCCACTTCTTGGAAGCCCCATCTCCTCACGTGTGAAGCGAGGACAAATCATCCCTGCTGCACAGAGCTGTGGGGTGGACAAAGCCGGCACAGGCAGAGTGCCCGCACAGAGTAGGTGCTTGTGCCTGACACGACTCCCCCGTTCGCTTCGGCCTCACAGCCCTGCCAGCCAGGGATGACCCCCATGGAATGGACCAAAAAATACTCAAAGCAACAGGAAGCAGCCAGTGCTGCTGAGTGCCAGGTTGGATCGCTGGCTGGGCTTGTGGCTGTGTGACCTCAGGCAAATCACTCCACCTCTCTGAGCCCTACTGCCCTCATCTGTCCAACAGGAGATGAAGGCCTAGCACACAGTGGGTGTCGTTTACATGGTAGACTGGAAAGACAGAGGGTTCCTGCCTGGGTGGGCAGGGGCCAGGCTTCAAGGACAGACCCGCCTGCTCAGGAGTCCCCAGGGGAGCTCACCTTGCTGTCTTTGGGGCCAGGTGGGCAGGCTGTGGGGTCCTCAAGGCTCAGGTCGTCGCCCAGCAGGATGGACGAGGACCTGTCTGAGTTCAGGGAGAAGGCCTCCGTCTCAGCCAGCTGCACCTGCAGGAAGAGGGGGTGGCCTCAGGTCACCACAGCGTTGGGATGGGCAGGCCTGGGTCCTGGGGCGTGCAGCCACAGGCCTGAGGCTCTGAAGAGAGGCCAAGCAGTGGTCAGAAAGGTCCAGACACCTGCTGGGCACGGATGATGTATCCATCCTGTGCAGGGGCCCAGCCTGGGCGGTATGCAATGGCGACACAGCGGTCACCTCCAGTGGAAGCCAGCCCTGAGTGGCCCATCTTGCTATCTGGGCCTGAGGGCAGGTGAGTTGCCATGGGCTGTGAACTCCACAGCTGTCTGCTTGCCCCCAGACCAAGTGCCCATCTATGGCCCCAGACCAAGTGCCCATCTATGACTCATCTATGGCCCTGTGTGGACAACCTGCACAGCGTGTCACAGACAGGGGACACTGCGGGGCCCAGAGACACTGGAGAATCTGCAGCCACCACAGGGCAGGGGTGTGGGGCAGCCCAGACTTCCAGCTCCTGCTGACGGCTCCTGGGGACCCGCCCTGCAGCCACCTGAGGCTGGGGCCACCCTGGGGGCTGGAGCCCCCCAGGGAGAGCTCAGGGGCCCACACTGCTGGGGAGAGGGGAGGGGGCTGCCTGCGCCTGCACTGGAGGTGGACCCATGGGAACCCCTGAGCTGGGTGGACCTAAGCCCCGAGCTGGAGACCAGGGCAGGGCACCTGGAGGAGGTTGAGTGCCAGGATGATGCCCTGGGGGAAGAGCGGGCAGATGACCCCTTCATGTCACAGAAAGGGCAAGCTGTCCTGCAAGTGACACACAGGCTCCCTGCCTGGCACCTGCAATACACAAGGTGGGGCAGCTGCCCTACCCAAGCACCTACTGTGTGCGGCACGGTGCTGGGGTCAGTAGCTGCGGCCACCACACCACAGGCCCACACCTGGCCCTGGCTCAGGGAGCCAATCTGCCCAGGCCATGGAAGCTACGTGTGCCCACACTGACCCAGCCTGGTCTCTACGGCCCAGAGCCAGGCTCTGCCCTCGGGCAGGCCCCCCACCAGGCTTCGTGCTGCCCCTGCCACAAGGGGCTGGGCCTCCCGGGCTGCCATTACCTCTTGCTTGTCGTGGTGACATTTCTTGCAGCCGGCGGGCGAGGAGTAGTGGTGGAAGATGGAGCCCGAGAGGTTGTCGATGATGGTCAGCTCCCCCTCCAAGGAGTCCTTGATGATTAAAGAGACGCTGTCCAGCCACAGGTTCTCCTAGGCGGACGGGGACGGGGTGGGGACAGGCGGGATTATCAGCCGGGTCCCGGGTCTGCGGGGTGGGCAGGACACAGCTGCCCTCCCAGTTGGTTCTCTGCGCCCATGGCCTGGGACCGACCCCCTCATCACAGGGTCACCCCTTCTATGGAGCTGAGCAGGGTGGGGCCCAGAAAGACAGAGGTCTCTGTGCAAGGCCTCCCTGGCCCCGCTGCCCATCTAGCCCTGCAGTGCCCCCCCCCGGCGACCCTCGCGCCGCTCCAGCCCCTGCCCACCTGGGCAGGCGAGTAGCAGCGCCGGCACAAGCCGCCGTCGGCGTCGCCCCCGCCGCCCGCCCCTCCCGGCCCTCGGCCAGGGGCGCCCGGGGAGCCGGCAGGCAGCCTCGGGCCGGGGCCCAGGCTGTGGGCCATCTCCAGCTCGAGCTCGGCATCCATCTCGGCGTCCTCCTGCGCCTCCTTATTGCTGTCATCCAGGTGCTTCATGAGCACAGCCACCACCACGTTGATGAGCACGAACTGCGCGGTGAGCACGAAGCTCACGAAGTACAGTGGCGACACAAACTGCAGGCTGCTCAGGCAGCTGCGCTCATCATGGGTGCAGTCCCGCAGCGTGTCCTGCGTGGTGGGGAGGGCGGAGAGGACGAGGGCTGCTGGAGGCAGAGGCCAGCCCAGGGCCACGCGCGGAGGCAGCAAGACCGAGATTCAACCCCTGAGGTGGCCCTGGCTGCCCTGCCCCACTCTGCCTTGTGGCGGCATCTGCCTGCCTCAGCTTCAGCTAAGTCCCCGCATGGACAGACGATGGCCCAGCACCCTCTCCTCCTCTCTTGCTCCCGCCCACGTCACCCTCCCCACAGCTGGCCTGCTTCCCTGGGACACAGTCAGGCCTGAGAAGGGGCATCTGGGGAGTAGGGTGCATTCGGGACCAGGGCCTCCCCGTCCTTCCTTTCTGGTTTTTCAGCTCAACCCCCACCCACAAAGCCCAAGAAGACTCCACCACCTTCCCGCCCTGGGCCGAGGAGAGTGGCCGCCTCTCCTAGCCCCCGACTTCCTGCCTCCTTGCTGGGGGACTGGGGGCTCTGCAGGGTGGGGGTGAGAGGCAGAACAGGCCTATCACTGCCCTCTCCACCTTAGGGCCCCGGAACCGAGGCCTCACCCCTGTCCTCCGGGAGCCCCTCCCTGCCCTTCCCAGCCCAGCCCAGGTTGCAGCCCAGTCTAGGGAGCCTCTGCCGGGTGACCTGGTCAGTGCGGCAGTCACTAGGGGGCCTGGCCCTGGCCTTCGGGCCTGCCTGGGCCCCAGGTACCCCCTGGAACCGGGTGGAGTTGTCTCCCCTAGAATCTGAGCCCCAATCTTAGGCAACACGGGGGGATGGGACAGTGGTAGACAAGGGGCCTGTTATGGCTCAGCTCTCCCCACTGTGCTGGTCCCGGGCAGGCCCCTCCATTCCTCCGTGCCCTGCATGCCCCTCCCTTGTGCGGTGGGGCCCTGGGTGGGCAGAGCCCTGAGCGGCAGGACCAGCATCCTCACTGTCCCAGCATCTGGCTGATGTCTCCACCCCCGCCCACCCGGGAGTACCTTCATGATCCCGTTCCAGTTGTCACCCGTGGAGACCTGGAAGAGCGTGAGGAAGGCCATGCCGAAGTTCTCGAAGGTGGCATGCCGGCTCATGCCCTCGCATGGGTTCTCATCGTTGCAGACTGGAAGCGGGGAGGAGGTCAGCCCTGCCCGATGGCAAAGCACCTGCGGGGCTCACCCTGACCCAGTGCCTCCCACCTTGCCTCAACCCTCATCACACTCTAGGAGGGGCGTGCAGACTGTGCCCAGCCCACAGATAAACTGAGGCTCGGGGAGATGGCGCATGAGCTGGGGCTCAGGTTTGGGTGAGTCTAGTTCTGTCCCCGACCAAAGAATGGGTTTCTGAGAAAGAGGATGAAATGGGGTGAGGGCCAGCCCGTCAGGGAACCCTGTTTTCCAGAGCCATCCCGCTGCAGGGCAGAGCTCAGCAAGTGCTCTGTTGCCCTCTGCCCCCACCCTGGCCTCTCCATTTGCTGGGGTGGTGCTGGCTCAAGACAGGCACCAACACAAGACAGGCAACCACTACAGGGGTAGGGAGGGCAGGTTCCCTGGGAGACCAGACAGGTGGGGGCCCTGCTGTAGGCATCTCCTCAATACAAAGACCCTGATGTGATGGGCTGGGGTTCCCTGCTCCACCAAGTCATCCTGCAGCCCCGCTGCACCCCACCACAGGCCTGCTCTGGGAGTCACTCACCCAGCTTCCCGAAGAGCTCTACCCCAAGGGCAGCATAGATGAAGAAGAGCAGCATGAAGAGGAGGCCCAGGTTGCCCACCTGCGGGAAGACAGGTGAGGCCGGGTGGGACTGGGGAATGGGTGAGGGCGCACCAGGCCTGGGAAGGGTGGAGGCTGGGGCGGTGGGGGTGGGCAGCCTGAGGGTCAGAGCAGCTGTAACGTTCCCCCAGCCTGTGTGTCCACGTCTGCCACCCCACAGGACCTGGAGGGCAGGCTGGTTCCAGCACAGGACTCAGAATAACAAGAAAACACTTGTGCCGCCTTTACCACAAGCCGCCCCGTTTCCAGCACTTGAGGTTAATGAGCTCACTTCCTCCTCACAATAATCCATGAACTATCTTTTATCCCCATTCTTCAGATGAAGAAGGAGACAGACTGAGAGGCGACATCACTTGTCCAGAAGCACACAGCTAGTAACTGGTAGGACAGGGGTCCAGACCCAGCAGGCTGGCCCCAGGATCTGTGCAGACAACCTGTGCTACACACCTTGTGTGGCTACCAAGGTTGAATGGATGGATGAATGAAGGGAAGGGAGAGGGCAGGAAGTCTCAACACTAACATTAGCTCCTCTACGAAACCACCGAAACGCACTTGTCCCTGTCACTATCATCTGCTGGTCTGGGAAATCTTCAAGAACAGGAACACTGCTGCATGAGGTCAGATTTGCCTCCTCGGGCCAGCACGAGGCCTGGCCATAGAGAGGAGGGAAGGCAGGAATCACGCAGGCCCGTGGACCCCAGAAGGCTCTGCAAACCCAGCCACCCCCGTCCCACAGCTCCTGTGGGAGAAAGCGTCCCAGATTCCAGACCTAGGTCAAATCTATCCATGCACTGGAGACCACCTTTAACTCCTGCTATGGATAAGATAAGGTTCAACCACATTCTTGCCCTAGAAATGAAATCTCTCTTAGAACCCTCAGAAGGCCTGCGTGAAGAGAATCAGAAGACGTTCACATTAACTGCTGAAAAGTAAACCCCGTTAATCACCACTCCTCAAGTTTCTCCTCTCCACTCCAAAGAAGGGTTTCCTGGCCAGCCGTTCTGCACTGCTAGTGGCTAATTAAATGATGTTCCCTTCATTAATAAAACAAGCACTTACTGAGCGCCTGTGAGGCAAACTGTAAAGCCCTAACCGCTGAGAAGGATCTGGCGTGGTCGAGGCCCTAGGAAATCAGCTTTGTGCTCTGCGCAGGCCGGGGCTGGCAGCGTCTCTTAACCAGGATTGCCTTCAGCTTTTCTCTGTCCCCTCCCCACTGTCAGCATCTCAGAGCCGGTAGGATTGCGGCAGCCTCCTCACCAGCTTCCCTGCCTCCAGCGTCTTCCTCCAATCCACTCTCCTCCCAGCCGCCAGAGCCACCTTCTCAAAAGCAGCTCTGGCTGCAACCTCCCTTGTCTAGAACCCTCCTGTGGCACCCACTGCCTGCAAGATAAAGCCCGATTTTGCTTCCCTGGCATTGAAGGTGTGTTGTGACCTGGCCCCCAGGGACCCCCTCCCAGCCTGATCTTCCAACCCCACACACTCCAGCCACACAGAAAACAGCCCCACAGTGCCCTGGCATATTATTTTCCCTCTGCAGGGAGGACCCTCTGTCTTTGCTTGGAAAATGCCTCCTCCCCACCCCTCAAAGCCCAGTCCATGGGTTACCTCCCCTGAGAAGCCTCCTCTGATGCCTCCTCCCTCTTCTTGGGGCAGAGCCTGGTGGGGAGAGGCTGAAGTTTCATTTTCCGAGCACTTTACACAGAATCGAGGAAATGGACAATGTCCATGCAACAGCATGAGCAACAGCAAATGGATTTTGAGGGGTCAGCACCATTTCATGGCCAGCAGCACTCGGCACATGCTGCTTCTAAAGTGCTGATGCACTTGTAATGACTACCATGGGTCTCCTGCTGGAGGCTGGGAGGTCCTGAACATCTCCATGTGCCGAGCCCCATGCCAGCTCCGCACTGGATTTGGGAGTCATGATAGGACTGCCCAGGGCTCAGAGCATGGGGAAGGGGAGTGGGAGCAAGGAGGCCAGGGAGGCCAAGCCACACACCTGCCATCCCCATCCCTAGCAGCCTCTTACAAGGCACTTCCCATGAACCAGGCTTCTGAAGTGCTTCATAAGCTTTAACCACCTGAAACTTCACCGCTGCCCTTTGAAATAAGCACTTGAGGGAGCGATGCTTCACCACCATCCTCATTTCACAGGCAAAGAAACTGAGGCACGAAAAGCTAAGTTGCATGCCCAGGGCCCAGACTTTGCTCTCAGGCATTATGGCCCAAGTCGGGGTTCCAATCTACTTCTTGTCTGCACAGCCTGCAGCCCAGCATCACTCCCATCTCCTATGGGACAAAGTCCCCTGAAGGAATTTAGTGTTAGGAAAAACCACGTCTCTGAATGAATGCCCTTGCTTTCCATCCAGACCATGCCACTTTCCCTTTATACCGAGGCTGCTGGGAAGCTCACACCAAACTCAGGAACAGAACTCACCCATGTCCTTAGCCCCACTCCCCGAAAGAATTAGCTCTGCTTCCACCTTCCCTGGGCTGTTAATCTTGTATCCTCATTCTTACTGTGCAGTATCTGTGCCTTGTATTTTAAGGTGTCTAAAGTTCCTGATGACTCGATGAATCATAATGAATAAATAAATGTGCCTGAGGGTCATCACAGCAGAGGCCACCCTTAGGGGAGGGGGAAGAAGAGCCTCAAGCAGTCCAGACAGCAAGGGAGGGAAGGACTGGGATTGCAGAATTCCCAGGAGGATGAAAAAGATGCCCTCTGTGGCCCTGATCACATCTCCCTTTTCACTAACCACGGGGTGGGGGTAAAGTAACTTCCCTAACTTCTGAGATCCCCACCTGGGTCAGTGTCTCATGCTGCCCCTCCTGGAATGCCATCTCGGAACTTCCCCATCCACACTGCCACCTTCTTCTGCCAAGCCACCCTTGGAAGTCAAGCTCAAAGGTCCCCTTTTCTAGGCTGCCTTCCCTGATCTCCCCAGGGAGTGTCTGGCAGTCTTCTCTCCCTGGAGCATGCTGGAGGTCCCTCCCCACATCTCCCTGAAGTATCCATCTCCCTCCACCAGCCTGGGGCAATCAAGGGCACGATGTGGACCCTGAGTGCATGCACAGGGCTGGACACAGAGTGTCGCTGGCAACCACATGGTGAAGCCGGAAAAAACAGGCAGAAAGGGACCCTTTCTGCCTGTCAGCCCTCGGCTCAAAATGCATCCCCACAGACAGCATCTGCCCTGGCTCTGGCAGATGTGAGAAGGAATATCAGGGCCTTCATGCCCCAGGGCCCAGCCTGACACCAATGACCCCTAGTAGGGCTGCCAGAAAGAGTGGCTCTTACCTGGGGCAAAGCTTGCACCACCGTGTCCAGCAGGGCCCGCATCCCTGTGGCCATCTTCAACAGCTTCAGCACTGTGGGCGAGACCCAGCCCCGCCCACTCAGCCCCGGGCCGGTGGGGACATGTATGTGCACGCATGTGTGCACGTGCGTAAACTCGGTAAAAGAGCACATGAAAGCACGTGCAAGCAGAGTCCGGCTCTCAGACGCCACATTACAAGAATGTGGGTGCAGCCACAGGGTGAGTGGGGCATGCACAAAAACATGTGGACACGAGGCGTGGGCGTCACTGTAAAACAGCCCCCAAGGATGGGGCATTCTCATGGGAACTGAGGTCTATGAAGTGTGTGAATGAGTGTGCCATGAACTGTCACAGGCACAAAGGACCAGCGTGAGTGGCCACATCTCTTCCCTTCCCCTCTCGATAAAGAGGACTCTGGCATCACTCGCTGAGTTTCTGGCAGGCAGAAGAGCAAGAGGCACCTGGGCTCGCCCTGAGGCAGGAGGCTTTTAAGTGTGGGAACTACCTTGAGGGGAGGAGAAGGGTCTCTGAAGACCGTACGTCCCAGTCACTGTGTTTGAGAAACGCCAGTGAGGACCTGGAGGTGTTTCACATCTTCCCAGTTGGACTGGGTTCCTTGCATCACACGCTGAGACTGGACCCCATGGGTCATGATGTTATAAGGAAGTGGGAGTGTGTATCCATGTGTGCTATGCCAAGCTGTCTGTGTGCTGGGGGAGGTGTGTGCACACAGAGGGTGCATGCGTGTGTGCTGGCTGTGTGCCTCCCGGCTCCTGCTCACCCCTGCTCAGCAAGGAGCCTACCATGCCCACGAACTCCTGCCCCCACCTCTCCCTACCCCACTCCTGTGTGCTCTCATCAGGCAATGAGGAGTCTCATCCTGCCCCTGTTTGCCCCCGTTCCCTGTCCCACCCCTTGCCCCTCACCTCGGGCGATGCGCAGAACCCTCATGATGCGGATGATGGTGGGGTTGATGGGCAGGGCCGCATTAATCTCTATCTCCTCCAGTGTGATGCCCATGACTGACAGTAGCACAATGGCCAGGTCCAGCTGGTTCCATCTGCTCAGCCGTGCATGGGAGGGTAGGAGCGGGCATGAGGAGGATCCCTCTGGTTCAGACACATCTTAGTAGGGGAGCCTCCCAAGTCCTCAACCTTCTATTGTGGCCCATTGGGCTGTGTGGCTGCCCTCCCTTACTAGCGCCTCCTAACGCCACTGGGTCCAGGCCTGTCTCTGCTCCCCATAGCCATCACTTCCTCACGCAAGGGGCTGATCAGAATAAACATCTCTGGCCTCCTGCAGGAGAGGAGGCATGGACTGTGACTTCCAGGTCTAACCTTGAGCTGGCTGCTCCCTCTGTCTGGCCTTAGGCTAATCCACCAACTTCTTTGAGCCTCACTATTCCCTTCAAAAAGGAGTATTAGCATGAGGCAGACCCTGCTCTGCCTATAGGGTAGAAACAACCTACCAAAGATGAACCGAGAAGGGCCAAGTAGAATACCCTGCACCCATCAGATGATGCCATAATCATTTCTTGTTCAGAGCTATAAGCAGCAGTTGGGACGCCTGTCCATCAGTGCCTAGATGCTTACTGGTTCCCCTCTTCAGGCTGCTCCAGACTTCCCTAAGGGTCAGGACTGCTTCCTCATCCTGCAGTCTACCCTATTACTGCCCTAACCCAGCCTGGCCACTCACCGGTCCTTGAAGAAGCGCCTCAGACCAAATGCCACCAGCTTCAGCACAGCCTCCAGCACAAACACAGTGGTGAACATATAATTGCAGTACTTGAGGGCTGTCTCCAGGGACTATGGGGGAACAAAGAGAAGCATGATCCAGGGCACATGACCAGCTCCAGAACCTTCCTCCACTCAGAAAGTCTCTGCCTTTTAAGGAGAGAATTTAGTCCATTTACTTTTAGCGTAATTATTTATATGCTGCTTTTATTCTTTCCATCTTAATGTGTGCTATTTATTTTATGTTGTTATTCCTTCTGTTTCCTTTTTCCTATTTGTGTGTATCTGGTCCAGTTGGTACCTTTGGAGGCAATATAGGGTATTAATGAAGAGCTACGGAGCCAGACTGCCTACATTTGAATCCTGGCTTAGTGCTCACTCCAAATTCACCATATGATCTTGAGTAAGTCATTTCATCTTAGAAAGCTGCTATGAAAATTAAATGAGCTAATAATTCAGTGCTGGACACAGAACAATACTTGGTAAATGTAAACCATTATTCTTCCATTTTTTTCCTGTTAATTTGGAAGTTCTATAATTATTGTTTCATTTTGCCAATGGTTATCTTTCTTTTTCCTGCATTCATAATATTCCTCTCCCATCATTTGAAATAAGGTATTAATTCCACACCTGGAAGCTCTGCTTCCCTCTTCTTCCCCTCCAACTCCAACAGGGTTTTTAGAATGGACTTGCTTCTCACATGCCCCTCACATACCTGGTCGGCAACAAGCTGGGAAATGGTCATCCTCATCCACCACCAGTGTTTGCCTGAAATGGTCCTTCCACCCTTTGCATAGTCTCCATATGCCCAGGTAGTAATGGAGGCTACATGGTAGGCTTTGAATGCAAATCTAAGTTCCAGACCTGGTTCCACTACCTATGGCTGAGTAATTTTGGCAGCATATTTAAGCTCTCTCAGCCTCAGGTTCCTCACCTATAAAATCTGGACAAATGATTCCCCCTGCCAGCCTTAGGATTGCTATGAGGATTAAAGAGTTCATACATGTAGTGTGCCTTGCAAAGAGTCAATATTTAACACACCACAGTCATTGCCACCCATGTGCAAACCACGGACCAAATGCTGCCTCCCTGACCCACCTTCCCTCTGACCCTTCCCTTCCAGACCCTGAGCTTCCTGAGGGCAAGCTTGTCCGGCACCTCCTCCCATTGCAGTGCCCAGCATAGAGCCCAGCATGGAGGGGCTGCTCACATCCTGCTATCAGCTAACCCCTTCCCTACCCTATCCCTGGGGTGGGGTCCTGCTGAGACCCCACCCTCACCTTGTAACCTTGGGCTGGGAGGCAGACCAGGGCTCACCGTGGGCTGATTGTAGTGCTCCAGGGACATGGTGACCACGTTGAGGCAGATGATGAAGGTGATGAAGATGTCCAGGTAGTGGCTGGTGCACATAGAGTGGATGAGTAGTCGGGTGTGACAATAGGTGGCATAGTAGGGCAGCCGCTGGGCCTCTGTAGGTGGTGCAGGGGGAGTGGCACAGACCACAGAGGGTTGGGGTCAAGGGAAAGGGCACAGAGCACAAAGGACAGAAATGTGGAGGAAAGGGGTGGGGGGGCAAGGAGGAAGATGTTGATCCACCCCAGGCCCTGGAATCAGTGTTAGATCTCCACCCAGCCAAAGCACCATGACAGAAACTGTGCAGAAGGGTGACAAAGAAGGCAGGACATTCATTCTCTCCATCTACCCCAAATGAGCTTGTGGCAGGAGCTCTGGGCCTGCCTGCAGGGAGGGCAGGTTTCCCATGGCCCAGGGAGCCCAGGCTCTGCCTTTGCCCTATGCGTGGACTGAACCCCCAACAGCCTCACTCAGGTTGGCAGTGGTGTCAGCCATTGGACACTGATGGAGCTCAGATCCCCTGGACAGAAAGATGCTGGGAGAAGTGACTGAGCCCTGGACACAGGGGCTGTATCATTTGTTTCCTTCCAGCTCCAAAGGCTCAGGATGCTGGGGTCAGGTCCAGGCAGAGGGGCCTAGAGCTGGGTGGCCCACACCCTCCACAGGCACCCACTCACTCCGGCGCTTCTTCTCCAGGCGCCGCAGCCGCTTCTCCTCCCGCCGCCGTGCCTCTTCAGCCTCCTGGTGCTGCCGGCACTTGTGGAAGTTCTCCACCACGACACCCACAAACATGTTGAGCACGAAGAAGCTGACGATGAGCAGGAAGGAGATGAAGTACAGCAGCATCCAGGGGTTGTGGTTGGTCACAGGCTGCAGGGGAGTCAGAGAGGGCTGAGGAGGCTGATCAGGCCCTACAGGGCCATGGGGAAGTGCCCAACCTGGCTCAGCCTCCATGGAGTGGGGATGTGTTGAGCCTGCCTCCAGGAAGGCAGCTGTGAGGTCTAAATGAGGCAGCAGGTAAGAAGTAAATACCCTGAGCATGACACAATATGGTCCTCAGCCAAGAAAGCCACCTCTCCCTCTCTGCTTAGCGGCTGCCTCCTGGAAACGTCTGTCTTCTTCCTCTCATTCACCTATCCATTCATTCACCTATGCATGCATGCATCCATCCATCTACCTTTCCTTCCACTCACTCACCCATCCATCCACCACCCATCCACTCATCCATCCATCCACCCACCCATCTATCCACCCATCCATCCACCCACTTGCCCATCCATGCATCCACCCATCCATCTACCCACCAGCCAGCCAGCCACCCATTCATCTATCTACCCATCCATCCATCCACCCACCCACCCACCCACCCCGATCCAATCCATTCACCCATTCCATGCATCACCCATCCACCCACCCACCCATCCACCTATTCATCCACCCACCCATCCATCCATCTACCCACCCATCCACCCACCCACCCATCCACCTATTCATCCACCCACCCATCCATCCATGCATCCACCCATCCATCCACCCACTCATCCATCAATCTATCCATCCATCCATTCACCCATCCACCCATCCACTCACCCATTCATTCACTCACTCACCCATCCATCCATCCACCCAGCCATACATCCACCCATCCATCCATCTACCCATCCACCCATTCATTCATCCATTCACCCACCCATCCCTCCATCGACCCATCCACTCACCCATTCATCCACTCTCACCCATGCACCCATCGACCCATCGACCTACCCATCCATCCATCCACCCATCCACTCACCCACCCATTCGCCCATCCATTCACCTACCCATCCACTCACCCATGTATCCATCCATCCATCCATCCATCCATCTATCCATCCATCAATCCACCTATTCACCACCCACCCATTCTCCCACCCAGCCAGCCAGCCACCCCTCCATCGATACCTCCATCCATCCACTTTTTCACCCATCCAGAAATAAGGCAGAAAACAAGGTGGCCAGCAGAGAGGAAAACGGTGGTGCAGGGGGAGTGGCACAGACCACAGAGGGTTGGGGTCAAGGGAAAGGGCACAGAGCACAAAGGACAGAAGTGTGGAGGAAAGGGGTGGG